AACAAACTCATGTATATAGCAGAGTAAGAAATAAAATATTAACAACACCCCAAAGCCCCCGTATGTCTCTTTTTAATCATTGTAAACACCGTGCTGACTTTTAATCCCATTGATGAGTTTTGCCAGTTTTTGAACTTTGTAGACAGTTCACACTCTCTTAGGTCTGTCTTCTTTTGCTCAGCATTAGGTTTCTATGTTAACTGTGTTGTGGCATATGACTTATTCATCTTATTGTTGTAGAATATTCTTCTCTATTCAATTTTAGATATATACCACAAAAATGGAGCAGTTTTTAGTTGGGACCTATTACTAATTATGTGGCTACAAACATTCCCATATGCTTCTTCAAAAACTTATATTCATATTCTAGGTATATATCCAGAAATTAAATTGTTGCATTACCAGTTCGTTTAATGAATTCATACTGCAAAATAATTATGCAGAGTAATTTTTCTGTAAGTCCACTAACAATGTATTATACTTCCATTTGATCTACATCCTCAGTAACACAAGGTATTTTCAGTTTTTTTCAATTGTTAGATATTTGGGTAATTGTGTGTTAGCATTGTAGGGTTGTATTAAATTCTATTTTCCTGATGATGATTAAAGTTTAGCACCATTTTCTTTTTTTAAATTATACTTTTAAGTTCCGGGAAACATGTACCATACAGGCAGGTTTGTTACATAGGTATACATGTGCCATGGTGGTTTGCTGCACCCATCAACCCATCATCTACGTTAGCTATTTCTCCTAATGCCAACCCTCCCCTTGTACCCCACTCCCCAACAGGCCCCAGTGTCTGATGTTCCCCTCCCTGTGTCCATGTGTTCTCATTGTTCAACTCTCACTTATGAGTGAGAACATGCAGTGTTTGGTTTTCTGTTTTTGTGTTAGTTTGCTGTTAATGATGGTTTCCAGCTTCATCCATGTCCCTGCAAAAGACATGAACTCATTCTTTTTTATGGCTGCGTAGTATTCCATGGGGTATATGTGCCACATTTTCTTTATGCAGTCTGTCATTGATGGACATTTGGGTTGGTTCCAAGTCTTTGCTATTGTAAATAGTGCTGCAGTAAACATACATGTGCATGTGTCTTTAGAGTAGAATGATTTATAATCCTTTGGGTATAAACCCAGTAATGGGATGGCTGGGTCAAATGATATTTCTGGTTCTAGATCCTTGAGGAATCGCCACACTGTCTTCCACAATGGTTGAACTAGTTTACAGTCCCACCAACAGTGTAAAAGTGTTCCTATTTCTCCACACCCTCTGCAGTGTCTGTTGTTTCCTTATTTTTTAATGATCGCCATTCTAACTGGCATGACATAGTATCTCATTGTGGTTTTGATTTGCATTTCTCTAATTACCAGTGATGATGAGATTTTTTTCATGTATTTGTTGGCCTCATAAATGTCTTCTTTTGAGAAGTGTCTGTTCATATCCCTCATCCACTTTTTGATGGAGTTGTTTTTTTCTTACAACTTTGTTTAAGTTCCTTGTAGATTCTGAATATTAGCACTTTGTCAGGTAGATAGATTGCAAAATTTTTCTCCCATTCTGTAAGTTACCTGTTCACTCTGATGATAGTTTCTTTTGCTGTACAGAATCTCTTTAGTTTAACTAGATCCCATTTGTCAATTTAGGTTTTGTTGCAATTGCTTTTGGTGTTTTAGTCATGAAGTCTTTGCTCATGCCTATGTCCTGAATGGTATTGCCTAGGTTTTGTTCTAGAGTTTTTATGGTTTTAGGTCTTACGTTTAAGTCTTTAATCCATCTTGAGTTAATTTTCTATAAGGTATAAGGAAGGGGTCCAGTTTCAGTTTCCTGCATATGGCTAAACGGTTTTCTCAATACTATTTATTAAGTAGGGAATCCTTTCCCCACTGCTTGTTTTTGTCAGGTTTGTTGAAGATCAGATGGTTGTAGATGTGTGGTGTTATTTCTGAGGCCTCTGTTCTGTTCCATTGGTCTGTATATCAGTTTTGGTACTAGTACCATGTTGTTTTGGTTACTGTAGACTTGTATAGTTTGAAATCTGGTAGCGTGATGCCTCCAGCTTTGTTCTTTTTGCTTAGGATTGTCTTGGCTATAAGGGCTCTTCTTAGGTTCCATATGAAATTTAAGATGGTTTTTTCTAATATTCTGAAGAAAGTAAATGGTAGCTTGATGGGAATAGCATTGAATCTATAGATTACTTTGAGCAGTATGGCTATTTTCATGATATTGATTTTTCCTATTCATGAGCATGGAATGTTTTTCCATTTGTTTGTGTCCTCTCTTATTTCTTTTAGCAGTGGTTTGTACTTCTCCTTGAAGAGGTCTTTCACATCTCTTATAAGTTGTATTCCTAGTTATAGTATTCTCTTTGTAACAATTGTGAATGGGAATTCACTCATGATTTGGCTCTCTGTCTATTATTGGTATAAAGGAACGCTTGTAATTTTTGCACGATGATTTTGTATCCTGAGACTCTGCTGAATTTAATTATCAGAGTAAGGAGTTTTGGGCTGAGACATTGGGGTTTTCTACTTATGCAATCATGTCATCTGCAAACAGACAATTTGACTACCCTTTTTCTATTTGTATACCCTTTATTTCTTTCTTTTGCCTGATTTTTTTCTCAAGCCTGTAATCCCAGCACTTTGAGAGGCTGAGACGGGCGGATCACGAGGTCAGGAGATCGAAACCATTCTGGCTAATGTGGTGAAACCCCATCTCTACTAAAAAATACAAAAAACTAGCCAGGCGAGGTGGCGGGCACCTGTAGTCCCAACTACTCAGGAGGCTAAGGCAGGAGAATGGTGTAAACCCGGGAGGCGGAGCTTGAAGTGAGCTGAGATCTAGCCACTGCACTCCAGCCTGGGCGACAGACCAAGACTCCGTCTCAGAAAAAAAAAAAAGAAAAAGAAAAAGAAAATTTAATATTGTTTGTTTTAAATATCCATACTACATAAAACTGATCTAAAGAGTCAATGTAATTTCTTTCAAAATTCCAATGTCATTTTTTCACAGAGATAGAAAGGAAATCTTCAAATTCTTATAGAGTCAGAGAAGACTCCAAGTAGCACAAATAATTTTGAACAAAAAGATCAATGCTAGAGGCATAATATAATCTGATTTCCAGATATATTACAGAGCTATTGTAATCAAAACGGTATGATATTAATGTAAAAATATAGACATCAACCAGTGGAACAGAACAAAAAACCTAAAAATAATTACATTTATGGTCAACTGATGGTCAACAAATATGTAAAGAACACACAATGGGGAAAGGACAATCTCTTCAATAAATGGTGTTGAGAAAACTGGATATCAACATGCAGAACAATAATATTGTACTCTTTTCTTACACCATATACAAAAATCAACTCAAAAATGGATTTAAAACCTTAGACATAAGACTTAAACCTGTAAAGCTATGATAGGAAAACATAAGGAAAAGCTCAACAGCATTAGTCTGAACAACGATTTCTTGATTAGAACCCTAAAGCACAGGCAACGAAAGCAAAAATAGACAAAAGGATCATGTCAAACTAAAAAGCATTTGCACAGGAAAAAAAAAAAAAAAGGAAAAACACACAATTAACAGAGTGAAGGTGCAACCCACAGGTTGAGAGAAAAAATTTACAAACCATGTGTCTGATAAGGCTGAGGCAGGCAGATCACTAGGTCAGGAGTTCAAGACCAGCCTGGCCAACATGGTGAAATACCATCTCTACTAAAAATACAAAAGTTATCTGGGCGTGGTGGTGTACACCTGTAATCCCAGCTACTTGGGAGGCTGAGGCAGGAGAATCACTTGAACCCAAGAGGTGGAGGCTGCAGTGAGCCAAGACCATGCCACTGCAC